ATCATCATCATCATGAAAGTCATGTGGCTATGACTGTGCTCATGGTCGGCGGCGCCTGCGCTGGTTACGAGGCTGAAGAACAACTCTGTCACGTCGTACATTTAAATTTTTCTTTAAATGTAAAAAAGAAAAATTGAATTAGAAGATACGATAGTATGAAAGATTGTACGTGTAACACGTGTTTTTTTAATACTCCCTCCGTATTTATATGTTCTCTACAATAGCTTTTGGCACAATGTTTTAGGAGAAAAAAGTATGTGTAATGAATAGTGTAGAAAAAGTAGGAGAGGATATGGACAAGTAGGAAAAAGAAGATAAAAAGTAGAAAAAGTAAGAGCAATTGAGTATTTTTAAAGGAAAAACTTACCAACAACAACAACAACATCCAAGCCTTAGTCCCAAACGATATTGGGGTCGGCTAACATGAATCGATACATGATATCACCAAAGGAAAAGAAATAAAATAAAGATAAAAAAGATAAGCTATTATAAAAAAGATAATATAAAAGAGATGAATATACATATAAAAGATAAAATAAAAAGGATAAAGTAATATTTATATATAAGGATAAAAATATAAAAGAAAAAGAAAAAAAGAAGAAGAAAAAAAGAGGGGAAAAGATGATACAAGATCACTCCTCCACACGAATACCCGCCCTCCATTTTGCTCTCTCCAAAACCATACCCCCATCCAATCCAAGAAGAAGCATATCACTTATGACTCCCCTAACCCACGTCTGTTTGGGCCTTCCTCTCCCTCTCTTCCCTGCCTCTTCTCCACACATCTCAACTCGTCTGACAGGTGCATCACTCGGTCTTCTATGCACATGACCAAACCACCGTAGGCGCGACTCCCGCATCTTATCTTCAATAGGTGCTACTCCCACCCTTTGTCTGATTGTCTCATTCCTCGCGCGATCCTTTCTAGTATGCCCACACATCCAATGCAGCATGCGCATCTCTGCCACACTCATCTTTTGAATGTGACATTGTTTCACCGCCCAACACTCCGTGCCATACAGTAATGCAGGCCTAATTGCTGTCCTATAAAATTTACCCTTCAGTCTAGTCGGCATGCCTCGATCACATAGAAATCCCGACACACTCTTCCACTTCATCCACCCTGTTCTGATTCTATGGGATACATCTCCATCTAACTCACCGTCCTTCTGAATTATGGAGCCCAAGTAACGGAACATATTGCTGACCGGTATCTCCTTACCATCTAAAGTAATTCCGCTATTACCACTGCTTCTACCTCCACCAAACTTGCACTCCATGTACTCTGTCTTGCTCCTACTTAGTTTGAAACCCTTGTTCTCCAATGTTTGTCGCAATACTTCCAACTTTGCTTTGACCCCTGATTGCGTCTCATCAATCAATACAATATCTTCGGCAAACATCATGCACCACGGTATATCATCTTGAATTGACTTTGTAAGTTCATCCATGACTATGGCAAATAAAACAGGGCTCAGAGCCGATCCTTGGTGCACTCCGATAGTAATAGGGAACTCCGCAGTCCTCCCTACACTAGTACGGACACTTGTAATACAATCCTCATACATATCCATGACGATGCTGATATACTTGCGTGAAATGCCTTTTCTAGTTAAGGCCCACCAAAGAACTTCTCGAGGTACCCTATCATATGCCTTTTCTAAGTCAATGAACACTAAATGCAAATCATTGTGAGCGTCTCTATACTTCTCCATAAGTTGCCGAAGAAGGTGAATAGCCTCACTTGTTGAGCGACTAGGCATAAAACCAAATTGATTCTCTGAAATCTTCACCGTTCTTCAAAGTCTTTGCTCAATCACTCGCTCCCAAAGTTTCATGGTATGACTCATAAGTTTAATCCCTAGATAGTTGGCACATTCTTGTACATCACCTTTATTCTTAAATAATGGAATAAGAGTACTCTTTCTCCAACTCGTTGGCATCTTGTTGTTTCTCCAAATCTTGTTGAAGAAATTTGTTAACCACTCGATGCCTCTCTCTCCCAAACTTCTCCAAGCCTCGATCGGTATGCCATCTGGACCCACTGCTTTCTTCCGTCCCATCTTCCTCAGAGCCTCTTTAACTTCCGTTGGTTGGATCCTTCTCACAAAATCACGATTTACCATACAATCTGGTATGGTCAAATCACCGATATCTTGCACTTTGTTCCCGTTGAACAATGTATCAAAGTATGACCTCCACCTCTCTTTTATCTCTCTGTCCTCCATTAATATCCTTTGATCGACATTCTTCACACACTTAACTTTTCCGATATCTTGAGTCCTACGATCACGAAGACGAGCAAGTCTATAGATATCTTGTTCTCCTTCTTTAGAGTCCAATTTTTCATACAACTCCTTGTTCACTTTCCCTTGTGCTTCCTTTACGGCTTTCTTTGCTTGTCTTCTAGCCTCCTTGTATGCTTCTGTGTTCTCATCACTCCGACTTGTCCCCATCTTTTTGTAGCAATCTCTTTTGTTCCTTAAGGCTTGTTTCACCTCATCATTCCACCACGACGTGTCCTTTTTGGGTGGCAGACATCCTTTAGATTCTCCAAGTACCTCCTTTGCCACTTTATTAATGGTCAGCTCCATCGATAACCACGCATCCTCCACATGTGTTCCATTATCAATACGCCATACATCTTCACCAAATATTTTGTGTGTAAAGCTTTGTTGAAGATCCCCTCAAGCCGCCACCACTTTATCTTTGACCCCCCTTGTTGCTTAACTTGTCTTCTATGGTTCTTACCTCGAAAGTCAAGCACAAACATCCTATGCTGAGTGACAACACTCTCACCTGGGATAACCTTACAATCGGTGTAGCTAGTTCTCCAAGTAGTCTGTACTAAGAAGTAGTCAATTAAAGGGAAAATATAGCAAACTTTTAAATATATTTCAAAAAGGAAAGTGTAACAAACTTTAAAATTTAAAATAGGTATCAAAAACCCAAATTTTGATGTTGTTAAAAAAACAATTTTTGATGTCCATCTTAGGGGGGTGTATTCAATATGGATTGTTGTGGACTTTTTTTAATCCATGGACTTTTAAAAAAGTTAATGGACTTTTAAATCCATAGACTTTTTTATGAATGAATTCTATGGACTTTTAAATCCATGGATAAGTTTATTGACTTTCAAAAAGTCCATAGACTTTTAAATGCGGACCGCCACTGCTGGTTGTCAAAATTTTCACCTAGATTATTGTCGCTACCGATATGCATGTGACCTGTCCGCATCCATCACCGGAGTTCCCCGCTGTCGTCATCAGACTGACGCGTCACCAACAAAATGGCTTTGGTTGTGAAAGGGAACTAGGGACAATTAATTATATTAATTAATTAATTAATTAAATTAGGGGTGAATATGTAATATTTATTCCCATTTAAGAAAAACCAAACATTTAATCATACTTTAAGAATAATGCTATGTTTTAGTACTACCGTGAGTGATTTCTCTATATAATACGGAGTACGATAAGAAATAAGTAAGTAAATAAATAAATAAATAAATAAATAAATAAATAAATAAATAAATAAATAAATAAATAAATAAATAAATAAGTAAATAAATGAAAAATGTAATTCATATAGCAACACAAAGTTCTACAAAAATAAATGAAGCATAAGAATTCAAATTTATTTTTATTAAAAAAAACTCAAAGTTTCAAGAATGCTCGAGAATTTTGGCCATTTTATTAATGATTAAGAACATTAATTGTTACATAAGCATTACACTCATTGCTACATGTGGTACAAGCATAAATGCAATCGAGCTTTTCTACTTAGTGATTGTTTTCTTTTAACTTCTATCTTGTAAAAACTTGTATATGTATTTATGGTTATATATTTATTAATTTGAAATTATATTTTTATGTGTTAAGCGATTTAACGATGAAAGAAAGTGATAGTTAAAATATTTATTTTCTTAATGGTTAACTGATGACGTATCAGAATTGCATTGATGTAATACTATTGATTCTTATATCGGTTCTTCTATAAACTTCTAGAATCGAATCAATATAGGATTACTGAATCGAGGGGGGTGGACTGGGGACGGCAAGCTAAAGAAGAAGAAGAAGAATGGAAGGAGAGAGGTGGGCGAGCTGGGTTGAAGAAGACAAAGAAGAAAGATTGAAGAGGAAGGTGTGGCTTGGCTAAAGAAGAGTAGAGTTGGGGGAGGGGGGGAGTAGGCTTGGCCCGAGGCTCGTCTGACTGGCCCGGGACCCGGCCCGGCCCGCCACTGTGCGGGTCCGACCCGGCCCGTTGGATCGGTACCGGTACCGGGCCTAGGCCCGACCCGGGGGGATTATTTGGGGCGGTTCCGGAACTGCATATTTGAGGACCAGCCCGACCGGTTTGGGCCCGGTCCGTGCCTTATTTGTTTTCTTTTTTCTTTTTTCTTTTTTATTTGGGGGGGGGGGGGGGGTTGGGCCTATGGTAGGTAGGCTGGGTGTTTTGGAGGGGTTTGGGGGGTGAGGGTTGGAATATATAAGAAAACCGAAAAAAATGAACCAGCCCGGCCCAACCCGGAACTGGCCCGGCCCAACCCGATACCAGTAGACTCCTGGGCTGGTCCCGAGCCTTACCCAAAAAATTCCAAGCCCGGCCGGGCCCGACTCGGAACAGAAACCGGGTCTGGCCCGGTCCATCCCTAGGAGGGAGGGGAGGAATGGGGTGGGACGGGATGAAGAACCGATATAAGAGAAGTCCACGGAAATCTTTGGTGAGGATAAGAGACAATTGCAGAAAATTTTTGCACTAAAAATGAGTTAAAAGTCCCAAGAATCCATGATTTTAGAAGTCAATAAGAATGAACGGAAATTTGAATACGCCTATACTTTTATAGACTTTTAAAAGTCCACATTGAATACACCTAGACTTTTGTGTATTTTTAAAAGTCATTGAATACCCCTAAACTTTTAAAATCCATGTACTTTTAAAATTTTGACACTAAATCCTAATACAATACACCCCCTTAGTTTTACTCGAACTATCTTAATATCCTCCGTTGTATCCGAAAGAAGTGGCGGCGGCGGCATCTAAGAACTTTTTTCGTCAGCAACATCTTCACCAACGGCCTTCTCGACGGGCTATGTGACAATCTCATTCTCTTTCTTTTTTCGTCGAGGCTCACTGCTGATAGGACTTCAGGCGACGACCCTATTCGGCGGCTAGCTTCGGCTTATTGAGGCGACGATCTCTGTTCCGGAATAACTTCCGGAAGCAACATCAAAATCCAGCTCATTCAAAATGTTTCACGTATGTTTTACATCTTATTTAAACCTTGTTAATTTTATTAATTTAATTCAAACTCTCTGAATTTATTTGTTTTGTTTAGGATTCATGACCTCTGTTAGTCTGTTTTGAATATAGTAACTTAGTAAGCTCTATTAATAGTTCTATGCTGCAGTTTATATTCCCATTTTCTCCTGTTTTAGAATTTGTAGTTTTTGAATATTATTGATTTTGATTATCTGATTACGTTCGCTAAATGATATGCTTTATTAAGTGAGTTTTTGTTTAATACTAGATTTAATCTATGAAATTAAAATTTTATAATGTATACTCCAGAATTTTATACTTTCATTATGAGTTTTTGTCACTTTCGGTCCCGGACTATTGTGTCAATAGTACTTGACATTCAATTTTTCTATTTTTAGTCCTCGACTATTGTGTGAGAGACTTTTAGTTCTCGACTTCAAAGTTTCATACACTAGTCCCAAAAGTATTATCAAATTGACACTTTTAGTTTTTTCACTATGATTTTGATACAAATAAGTGGAGGACTAAAAATGTCACTATTATAATAGTTGAAGGACCAAAATGTCACTTTTATGTAAGTTGAAGGACTAAGTATGAAAATTTTTAAAGACTCAAAGCGAAAAAATCAAAAATCGAATACCAAAAGTATGACCAAAAGTGTCTTTGTCACAATAGTCGAATGACTAAAAGCGAAAAAAATCCAAAATCGAGTACCAAAAGTATCAGTGACATAATAGTCATAATAGTCAGAGGATTAAAAGTGGAAAAACTCCTTTCATTATCTATTGTTCAACCACTGTTAGACCACTGAACTTTGAATCTGTGCGTCAACTGGTTCTTGGTCTGGTTTTTAAAACCTTGGGGTATAACCGTATAATAGCAAATTCGTCATCTTTCCAAGACATTTTTTTTTTGTAAATTTGATTAAATACACTTTGTTGCCCAGAGATAACTTGTACAGTGGAATAATGATTTGGAACATGCTAGAGTTACCAATTTTGTTAACATTTAACAAGAGAAAAGGTTGATTGAGGTTTGAAGCTTATTTTGTGTGTGGCAACTATGTGTATTTTTTGTTATTATAGAAAAATCTCAATTGGTGATTGAGAAATGTCATAGTAATAATTTTTCTTATACTTATAAGGTTTTTGATGTGGTAATTGTGGTTAATGGGTTTCTTATCTATCTTGGGATGTTAATGAAAATTCATCACTATAATCTTTACTTTATCAGATGGTGCCAATAATTAATAATGTATTTAGTTGGACCATTTCAATCTCAAGCCAGATTGGACTGAAATTGATCATACGAGACCAGACATAGACAAAGTAGTCATATAAGAAACATCTACCAGACCGGACTTAAACTCACCATACCAGACCAAACTTATACAATAATAAAGTACTCACAAATCATACATCTACCATTTTTTTAGCCCAATTAAAAACATCCTTAAAGCATATGAGACTTTTCTTTTTTTAATGACTCATTATTGCCATTATTTAATGTGCATTAGTGCATTACATCAATAACATGCAATGGCTAATTGGCATGTGAATTTTGTTTAGCTACACTTCTTTAATTAGCTTTTTTAGCTAACCTTGATTATATCCGCTGTTAATCTTGAAGGTCTACCTTGTAGTGCTTTTTATTCGACTCCAATATTTTTTAGCCTGGAAACATTTAGGACATTTCTACTTGTACCGAAATTTTCTGGTCTAATCTGGTCAGGTCTGTTTAAGTGGTCAGGTCTGTTTAAGTTTGGTCTGGTCTGATCTGGTCTTTGTATATTTTACAACTGTCAAAGTCTGGTCTGGTCTATTTAAGTCTAGTCTGGTTTGATTTGTTTAAGTTTGGTTTGGTATGAGGCTGAAACCAGCCCAAGTAAAAACATCCTTAATCGGGAGTAAGTTGCGAGAAAGACAAAGATTCTAGTCTTCACAGTTATCAAACACAAGATTATCAAGATTGTCAAAGAGGACTTTTATATTTGTGGTATTGTTGGTAAATGTTGATTAGAATTATCAGACTCGAAGATTTGGGGAGTATATTTGCAGCTGATTGTCAAATTTCTCATTTCATGGAATAATATTGTGATGGAATCACGGAAAAACTACGTTTGTGAAACTGACAATTCACTACTCTTAAGTAGTACTCCTTCTATATCTTAACGGCCATGGCATTCCTTATTGTAGAAAATAATGAAATAATTGTTATGGTTTTCATTTCCTTATGATTGTATTTTACCCATGCCTGGCATTCCCAATTTCTTTTTTTCTGTTTCTGCACTTGGGCAATTGGCCTTTTAGCTAATATGTTGAAATATACTTCCAGGTATCATTCTCGAATTCCTAAGTAGGCAACCTTTTCTCTAGAAACAAAAAAAGTTTGGGCTGCTCAAATCTTTTGCTAGAAAAGTTTATCGGAAGGCATGCCGTCTCTTCAGCTCTTACATTTGACTGAACATGGTCGAAGCCTTTTGGCTTCAAGGAGGTATATCATCATTATACTAATTGCTTTTACTGCTCCCTGTTTTTCAATTGAAGGCATATAATAGCCTAATGCAGTGCCTCCACCCAACACTACACGAAGTTGTATAAACTTGATAGTTTGTGGCCCATAATCAGAGCAGGTCATGTATTTGGTAGAGCCCGAGTCAAGAGATAAAATCTGGGCCCTTCTATATTTACTTTAACAAAAGCGTATTATTTAACAACTCGTCCTCATATCATCATAAAAAGTTATGAAATAGAACTTACTCTGTCCATCTGGTGGTTCACGAACTACTAGATGAACTTCATGGTGCATCTTAATCCACTAGATTGGACTTCCATTCGGTTATCGCCAATTTCAGATCGCTTTCGAGGATGTTGCAAAAAACAGTCTTCATGGTCATTTTGAGTTCCTTGTCATGCCATATGGAGTTTGGACTCTTGAGCGTCGTGTCTGCTTACCAGAGCCTAATGAACAAGATCTCCATTCTGTACCAGTGCAAGTTTTTCTCCGTGTTCTTTGAGAATACCTTCTTCTACACCAAACCTGTATTGCACACAGCCACACATCTACCATGTCCAAATTGTCTTAAATTTACCCGGTTGCACATACTTTGCTAAAAAAATCCAAACACAGTTTTGCTCCCTGCACACCCAGTATTTGGGGCATATCATGCACAACAAGGGTGTCAAGGCGTCCTTGATTGTCTAACACCAGGCTTAGTTACATCCTTATGGGACTTCTAGGGATTGGCAGGCTACTATCACTAATTCATTCAACGTTAGTTCAGGAGAGATCATGCTCATGTGTTCAACAGAGATAAAACACATGTTTTTAGTCCTTTGTTTATGCCGAAGTTCTAGATGTGTCATTGTTCTCAAAAGTGTAAACTTGAAAAAATATGCAGAACAAGATGCTAGAAAAGCCTCCTTGCGCAAGCACATGATGCACATGGGCGGAGCTTGTCACGAACTGGCACTTCTTGTGCTAGGACACAATATAGTTATGACTAGTGCTAGGACACAATATAGTTATGAGAGGCTTAATGTGTTTGATATGACCAATAGTGGCGGATTCACTTCAGAATAACGGTGACATCATGTATTTACTAATCACGATGAGGAATAGAAGGGTTAGGGTTTGGGTGGAAAATTTTAGACTTGGGCTATGGTACTATGTTGATTAACGGAATTACTTTTTTGTTGATATGATTTTCGACATATAACTTCATAATCTTTAACTTCATGTAGAGAAATAATGGACCTTGAAAGAGCTAACGCAGGTAATGAACAAAATCAAACAGAATGAATGAAGTTTAAGAACAAACAATTCACCATTAATGGAGATCAACAGTACACGAGAGTCCCAAAGAAAAGAGAAACAAGTCTCTAATCTCCCCAGTCCCAAGACAGAATGTCTAACAGCCTGACTCCCACTTACTGACTTATTCTATTTATATCCTTCTACATATCCGAAGGTAGTTATTAGCTATTAACAGAATTTAACTAATAACCAACTAGTCTACTTGCTTTCTTCTAGAATAGACTTGACCAAAGAATCTATCCTCCTTGTTAAGACTAGTCGTGTCCCTATCAGACCTACACCTAATGGAAAAGTTAGAAACTATTGTTTCGAACTTTGTAGCTGTGATGCTGAGGCATAAGCCTCCAACTTTATGCGTACCCTCTTTTACAATTCAGGCATACTAACATTCTGAAATATATTATCAGTCATGCATAAAAGTGAATCACAAATAAGAGTCATAAATTCCTATCATAAGTTTAACTCTTTATCGTTAACCTGAATTTGATGGCAAAATACACACGGTCTTTGTATTTTGTTTTGACGACATGCAAGTGCAACATGTATCACCTGTTCTTTCATTGTTCCACAGAAAAACTCTATTGCTTGCAACTGGTATTATTGTTGCTGGTGGATCAGCTGCTGCATACATACAGTCACGGAAGAAACTGAAGAAGTACAGCTCTATGGATCAGTATAATGATAATGTTGGTAATATAGGAGAGTTAAATGTATCTGTTGGAACAAGTGACATTATTTTAAAGAAAAGCAGGCAAAAGAAGGGAGGATTGAGGTCCTTAAAGGTTTTAGCGGCAATTCTTTTATCTAAAATGGGCAGCTTGGGCACCAGGGACCTTTTAGCTTTGATTGTTGCAGTGGTGAGCTTCTTCATCTCAACACTAGCTAGATACTGGCAATAGTTTTGGCATGCATAAAATTGTTACCATCCTATTAGGCTCTATACATGATATCACCACCACCACCACCATCACCACCTAAATCCCAACTAGTTGGGTTTGATTTTAATTTTTAAATTTACCGCACCCTTATTTGTCTTAAATGTGTCAACACTATAAATTCATCTAAAAAGTAAAGTAGCAAACTAGCAAAGTTACACTGGATGCCTTTCTTATCTCAACTTTCAACCTTCTTAGAATGAATATTGATACAATCTCCAAAACCATCATCATAATAAATGTTCTCCACTTGCATGGGAAATATCATGAGATAGTGATGTGTAGTGATAATTGGTATGGACATGCCCCGTCACATGATTAATATTGTAAAACCTACCTGCAAATCATGAAACATGACTGTATATTTTGATATGTTAACTGGAATCCTTCTCACTAGTACATGATTCTAGTGCCAGTAGAAGTTTCAATGTAGCCTTTTGAGTTGCTTTGAGTGCGTGTTTGATTTGAGGGTAGGGGATGGACAGGGAGGCATATTAGTAAGGTGAGGAGCCAAGTTTCTTCATCACTCCCACTCCTCCCCTTATCCCCCAAAGGGTAAAGCACAGGGTAGCCCCCTCCGTGCCTGCTCCTCCTCTCCATCCAGAACCAAAGATATATTTGTTTTGATGTCTTATGCTGTTGTATGATGTAGTGTGACGCCAATGGTTATGTGACCTTCAAGAGGAAGCCTTCAAATTTGCAGCTATCACCTAATATAACTTTTTAATCTTTTTTATTACTTTGGATCATGTTTCAGGATTTGTTAGTGGTTTTACAATATCAATAATGTAAAACACATGATTATAGCAACTTTATCATCTCATCACCATATTATAATACTTCTGTGCATGTAGAATTAAGGTCTTTTTCTTGAATATTACTAAAATAAATACAAAAGATAAATATATGACTTCTTTCCCGTTTTTAATAAAAGTGTCTGGTTACACCATCTATGCCCTTGATTTAATATATCATTTACGTAGTATTATTTTAGCATTACATTTATTATACTCCCTCCGTTCTTTATTATCTGTCCTCTTAGGCTTTGGCACGGGTTTTAAGAGGAAAATAGTAGGGGTAGTGTAAAAGGTGTAATGAGTAGTGGGTAAATGAAAAAGTAGGAAAGAGAAAGGGGTAATGGTAATAAAAGTGGGGGTATAAAGGTATATTTAAAGTAAAAACTTTCCTTAAATGGAAAGGAGGACAAATAAAAAAAAACGTCCCAAAAAGGAAAGAAGGACTTTTATTAAAGAACGGAGGGAGTAGTTAAATAATAATAAATGCTGCTCATCCACCCCACCCCAGCCACCGCCACCCTCTCCACGGTTAGTGACCCCCTTCCTCAAGCCGCTAAATAGTGACCATGAACCACTAAGTCTCTACTGAACTGTTTAGCCCGTAATTGACCAACGTCCTTGCATCTCTGTTCGCCTGTTACAACCCCTCCATCTCAAAACTTGTTAGTAACTCCGGCAATTCTTTGTTACATCTCATGCCATCAATCTAACTAGGATGGATTAAGGTGCTGATAATGATGATTTTCACTTTCAATGACGAGGCTTGCTATGTCAGCTTCAGTGGTCAAAGCTTTTATGCTAATTTATGTCTTTGTTTCTTCAGGTACTCCGAACTGCTGTGAGTAACAGATTAGCAAAAGTACAGGGGTTTCTTTTCCGTGCTGCATTCCTTCGACGTGTGCCATTGTTCATCCGCCTCATTTTTGAAAACATTCTATTGTGTTTCCTCCAGTCAGCGTTACATTCTACCTCAAAGTATATAACAGGAAGATTAAGTTTGCGGTATAGAAAAGTATTAACGCAGCTTATTCATGCACAATATTTTCAGGTAGATATACAATTGAGTGGTACCTTAACTGATTCACATATTCTACTATTCAATTTCAATTTTTTTGTTTTGTTTAAGGCTTATCCATTTTGTTAATGCTTACATTTGTTTCATTATCATCTTCATCATACACCTCAGTATTTGGGGTTGGAGGCATAAAGTTTATTTAAAAATAGGGCAGCGCGGTGCACATTGGCGTCCCTGCAAGGCGAAGGCTCAGGGAAGGGTCCACTACAAGGGTGTTTAGCTATGTTGTCAAAACCGGACTGGTTGGCGACCCGGACAAGTGAACTGGGGTCAAGGGTCACCGGAAAAAACCCGGTCAATTTGTTTCTAAAAAATAAAATATAAATTATGTAATATTTTATTTATTATCAAAACCAATGGATTTTTTTTCATTATTTATAATATTGATATTAATAATTAATAATTATAATACATAAAAATCATTCAAAATGAAACTATTATTCTAAAGTATAATGCTTTTAACTAAATTCAAATTGTATTTGAACTTTGCTAAAAAATAGATTTGAATATAATTTTTATTACAAAACTTTTAAAAAGTTCATAAGTATTTTTACTCATATTTGGAATTTTGTATAAATATTTGGATATTTGGCTATGTAGTACGGAGTATATTAATAAGAAATTATGTAATGTGATTTTTTAGTAATAATCAATGAGAGATGTTGCTTAAACATATTGAAACATTAAGGGATAATAGCAACTAAGGAACGAAAATAACAAACAGGCTTGAATAGTGCATTGGATTAGAGTGTGGAAGGGTTCCGGCCACACCAGAGTTCGAATCCCACACCCCAAGAAAATTTTGAAAACTCAAAGTGGCCGGGTTTCTGGTGGGTTCCGGAATGGGTTTGCGGCCGGGTTTCTAGCGGGTCTTCGGGTTAAAGCGCGTTTTCATGGTTTGTGGGTTTGATCCTAACCGGTCCGGTATTCCAAGTGGGTCGCCGGTTTCCGGGTCGACCCGCCAGGGCCGGTTCGTGTCTGATAACCCGGTGTTTAGAAGAGGGCACACCTTCCTTTGTCATTTTAACAAAAGGCCGCTCCAAAAAATTGAACCCCTGACCTCTTGGTGCAACACCTTAAGCGGTGTGCCAAGGCTCCCTTTTCTGGCATAAAATCTAAATTTTCCAGAACCAATTAACAATACAAAGCTGTATGCCATTGCAGTTATGCACAATTTACAGAGTTAGATATGATCTACTCCCTCCGTCCCTTATAACATTGCCATCTTTCCTTTTTTGGTTGTCCCAAAAACTTTGTCACTTTCTCTTTTAATTAATTTATTTGTGGTTCTATTATTTATGTCTCCTAAGCACAAACCTAACCACCCAGTTTTTGTAAAATTTTCCACGTGCCAGTCAAACATGTCAAAATTATAAGGGATGGAGGGAGTCTATTTTATGTACAAAGTATTTTGTAATCATTTTTGCATTCAAGCTTTGGTGCTTATTATGTTAATCCTTTTCATTTTATATATGTTCTTTTTATCCTCTTTATCTTATCATTTTCATCTTTATCTTATCCTTGTTATCTTACCTTATCTTTTTTATCTCTCTTTTCTTTCTTTTCTTTCTGGCTCCGATATCATGTATCGATTCATTATAGCTGATCCCAAAATCTTTTGGGACTAAGGCTTGAATGTTGTTGTTGTATTTATTCCAGGATATGGTTTACTATAAACTATCCCATGTTGATGGTCGCATAACAAACCCTGAACAGAGAATTGCAAGTGATGTACCAAAGTTCTGCTCAGAACTGAGTGACCTTATACAAGAGGATCTCGTTGCTGTTACTGATGGATTACTGTACACTTGGCGATTGTGTTCATATGCAAGCCCGAAGTATCTGTTCTGGATATTGGTACAATTTTCCTATACGGTTTCACGTTGATAACTTTTTATGTATGCTTTTCTAGTTTTATCTTGCTGAGACAAACACGATTTATTATTTAAATTTGAAATCAATATTTGCTTTTATCTTGCAGGCCTATGTTTTTGGGGCTGGCATTGCAATAAAAAATCTCTCCCCTGCGTTTGGGAAGCTAATGTCAAAAGAACAACAACTGGAAGGAGAGTACAGGCAGCTTCACTCACGTTTAAGGACACATGCGGAAAGCATTGCGTTTTATGGTGGTGAAAGAAGGGAAGAGTTTCACATTCAACAGAAGTTTAAGTCTCTTGTTCGGCATTTGAGGCTTGTCCTTCATGACCATTGGTGGTTCGGCATGATTCAAGATTTTTTGCACAAGTATCTTGGTGCTACTGTTGCTGTTGTCTTGATTATTGAGCCTTTTTTTTCTGGACACTTGAGACCAGATGCATCCACATTAGGAAGGGCAGAAATGTTGAGTAATCTGAGATATCACACTAGTGTAATAATATCTTTATTCCAGGCTCTGGGAACGCTTGCAATTAGCTCAAGACGACTTAATCGTCTAAGGTATTGCTTGGCTACCTTAAAAACAAATCATTTGAAGTGTTATTTGTCTATAATCACTAGAAATTCATCATAAAGAATGCCAATTGTGTCCGTAGGAGGTGTGAATTGCTACATCTTTGATGAATTGATATTAGGAATGGGTACCACACCTTACACATCATCTACTTATATATAAACTGTTGGTACTCTGTCAAAAACTTACATAGCGCATAGATCTTTGCAGTTGGAAGGCCAAAAATTTTCATATGTAATATATTTCACAGTTCGTTACTTGTTTGAATATTGAAGATGTTACTCTGTTAATTTATCGGGTATCATATATAATCATAATGTCAGAAGCTTGCTGAGTTGGGTGGGTGGATGGGGGGTATCTTATGAGATTATTTCACAAGGATAATATTATTGACAAACTATAAAAATGGATTATAAGACTATTTGGAATCAGAAATATCAAATATGCCAACGCGGGATTCATCTGAGGAAGTGGTGACATTAAAATGTGGGTGGTCTCGATCTATGGCAGCTCGAAAAAGGATGAGGAAGTCCGATACTATTATTGTAGTTATTATTATTACTATTACTATTATTATTATTGTTATTACTTATTAGCATTAAGGAAAATTATCCATATAGGAGTAAAAACAACGCAAAATTCCAAAGTAGGAGTACTATGTTTTCCCCCTAATTAGGAGTATGTTACTGTCATCCTGAAAATTTACTGGCATATTTTGGCATTACCCGGCTTTAAATATGGCAGTAAACTGCCATAATTGGCAATGTTTTCAACGCATGGTAATAATTACTCCTATTTAGGGAATATAAACATAGTGCTCCTATTTTGGAATTCTAAAACGTTTTTACTCCTATTTTGGGCAATTTCTTTTATTATTATTACTATTGAATAGTAATAGTTTGATGTTGTTATTGTTGTTATTGTTGTTGTAGTTATGATTATGATTATTATTGTTATCATTGTTACTACTACTACTACTACTACTATTGGTTAGTAGTAGTAGTAGTTTCTTATTAGTAACTTACTATGGCTATGTATTTTAGTTGATATTTCTAATTTTGGTGTTGTATTTCCTCCGTATGTATTCGTAGAATATGCTTGGTTATTGTTGTTTTAATATACAAGCAATAATCTAATTTTGGTGTTGTATTTCCTCTGTATCTATTCATAGTATATGCTTGATTATTGTTGTTTTAATATACACACAATCGTATTCATATACACCACCTTTGTTTTAAGGAATATAGTATAGTAATATAGTACTGATAGCTTCATGCGAGTTCTGGAGTTGGTGTAGTGGTTAAATGGTTCCTCATTAACCATTTGAGATCAAACCATTCAAGATAGATGTAAGATTGCAACGATTTTCTTCTGATAGGTCACGATGTAACATCCGGAGTGTGACATTATTCAATATCTATGACCTTTTTAGTAGTGCATGGAACTTGTTCCTCTCCAAGGATACTCATTTATTTCTTTTCATAAGCTGTGGTTTCCTTGTGGCAATTTTTATACTCGCCCTGCTTCTTCGCAGTGGCTACGCAGACCGTATTCATGAGCTCATTGTTGTTTCACGAGAACTTGCTGCCCATGATGCATCTATATTGCAAAGAGACGGGGATAGGAATTATGTCAGCGAAGCACACTACATTGAATTCGATGGTGTTAAGGTAATAAAGTTACTTTTAACTTTAATTTAATCTTGATAATTTTGCTGTGTTCGTGATGTGTTTGGCACCCCTTAAGGTCGTTACACCCACTGGAAATGTATTAGTGGAGGACTTGAGCTTACGAGTTGAAACAGGTTCTAACCTTTTAATAACAGGTAATATTTGTTATGTTTTGTATATACTCTCAATGTCTTAGTTTCTCACTTTGCATGATATGAAACTCAACAAATGAAAGGTTTGAAGGAAATATGAAACTGTGATCTGGTGTGGTCATTGCAATTTTGTGGCCTTATATCACTTATGGGAATTGAGATAGAATGGGGTTTCATTGTCAAACTTTAGTGTGTTTGAATGAAAATGACCTTTGGCTTGGTTTGGACAACTTAAGCAAGTGCTACTAAGTTGTGTGCTTTTCTTTGCTCACTGCAGCTACAGCTAGGTGAAATTAGCTGCCTAGAACTGATCTATTATAAAAACAGAATTAGTTGGGACTTAGGTTAGTTGTTTGTTTTTCGAATCAATTCTAGGCACCTTAAAAAAATCAATTCTAGGTATTTCCCATAATATTTGGTTGGCATGCTGGGTCATAAATTCTTATCCAGTGCAGCTTCTGGATATCCAACATTTGATGGTACAGTTGGAAAATTTATTCGACTTACCCTATCCCGTTCTCTCTTGTCTTTACTTTGTTATAGTAATCCAGAATATAATGATAAGCTCATCAATGTAGCTTATGGAAATAAGCTGAAACCGGTCATAATCTCTTCTTGAAAGCAAACCCGAACATTTTCAAAACCAGCATACTTGTGAATGGGTGTCTAGTAGATAGATCAAAGATAACCTCATCCAAAATCTACCTTTATTCAGGGCAGGACAGTGTTCAAATTATGTGACTGTTTGTGTTACATTTATCATTGCTCAGTGCTGTTCTGGATGGTTCACAAATATGTTCATTACATATTATATGTGTAGCGGTGTTCCTGTCCTTTGTTTCAAAATTCGGCCTGGGAGAGTAGATTTCAATTGCTGGTCAGGAGTGTCTTGTATCATTTTCTTGGACTTTGCAGTTAGCACTTGGCATTTCAATTTTGTAGGTCCAAATGGTAGCGGCAAAAGCTCACTTTTCCGAGTTTTGGGAGGCCTCTGGCCTCTTGTTTCTGGCCATATTGCGAAACCTGGAATTGGTTCAGACCTTAACAAGGAGATATTTTATGTACCTCAACGCCCATACACAGCTATTGGAACTCTACGTGATCAGATAATATATCCTCTTACTTCCGACCACGAGGTCGAGCCTCTTACACTTAGTGGAATGGTTGAACTGTTACAAAATGTAAGTCTCCTTGATATTTCAAAACAAATCAATGAATCAATCTCATTAAAATAATAAAATATTAACTTTGACCTTGCTGATATTTTGATGTCTTCTTATAGGTTGATCTTGAGTATCTATTGGATCGTTACCCACCTGAAAAAGAGGTAAATTGGGGTGATGAGTTATCTCTAGGTGAGCAACAGAGGTTGGGGATGGCCAGGCTTTTCTACCATAAACCTAAATTTGCAATTCTCGATGAGTGTACCAGTGCTGTGACAACGGATATGGAAGAACGCTTTTGTTCCAAAGTAAGAGCGATGGGGACGTCTTGTATAACTATATCTCATCGTCCTGCTTTGGTTGCATTTCATGATCTGGTTTTGTCCTTGGATGGTGAAGGAGGCTGGACTGTACATCAGAAGAGGTAGGTATTAAGAAGTCACATTTGTAAATTTATCTTTAAATTATTATTTTTCCATCATTTGCAATGGAGCCAAAGATTCATTATTTTTTGGCTTGAGAATATGATGGAATAAAGCAAAATGGCTCACCAAACTGTCTGCTCTTCTTTGTTATGAAGCAGCAGTCAGTCCATGCAATTTTGGACGCGATTTTCATTATGGGTCATCCGGAAACAGTCTCTCCCTGCTATAGTACAGGGATAAGACTGCGTACATCCGAACCCCCCTTACCCAACCGTAGGTGGGAGCCTTTGAGGCACTGGGGTAAATGATGATTGATCTTTAAATTATTATATTACTAGTATTATATAACTCAAACTGCAAATATTAATTAAATTATAGTTTTGCAATTTTCTAGGGCAGATTCCCCCACTCTTACTGAGCATGAGTTCAATAGTAAGAAGCATTCTGAGTTCAGTAAAAAGAAGCTTTCTGATGCTGAGCGCCAAAGTGATGCAATGACTGTTCAACTTGCATTTGCAAACACAAAGAAGGTCTAGAGTCTGGACTACATATTTGTTTCTCATCCTTTTGGCAATTCATTCTTTTGTTCTGATCATATTTGTTCGACGTGATTTTGTGCTTGTTGGCAATCTGGCATTTCCACAATGCCACAGGATATGGCATTTTCAAGTACACAAGCTGTATCAGTTTTTTCAAAGTTGTTAGCTGAATCTCCTTCAGAAGATGACAGTTCCATGGTTCCTGTCTTTCCTCAGCTTAAAAGCGCGCCCTCGAGGGTGTTGCCTGCGAGAGTTGCTGCCATGTGTAAAATACTGGTGAGTGTAATTGTGTAATGCTGTCAGGATAGTGAGTCGTCGTAACATGAACTTGACAATGGAGTTAATGGACGCATAATTCCGAATTTCCGACCATACATGTTGACTTCTTTAATGGTTAACATAGGACTTGATGATGGACGTACGTGGCACACATTTAACCACATAGCATATTTTTAATTCTTTTAGGATGTTTTTAATTGGGCAAAGATTTTATGGTCTGGTCTGCTTAAGTCTAGTCTAGCCTGAACTGGTCTGTTTTGGTTTGTTTTTAATTGTGTTGTATGTGTATTTTACAATTATCAAAGTCTGGTCTGTTCTGGTCTAGTTTGTTGAAGTCTTGTCTGGGATTGAAACCAATCCAATTAAGAGCGTCCTTAGTGTATCATATATAAGTATGTTTTTGTAAACCTCTTACAATTAATTATAATATGATCACATTTCTCTTTATTTGAGGAAATGAGTAGATGGCACTCATTATAAAGCATACAGAGACAATTAAATTAAGAAACCACACATGCTTAACATTATTTTGTTTTGTTTTATTTTGTCCGTGTAGACTTTTACTTTGGACTACATAAAGAATCTATATTTTTAAATGCCTATAAGCTCTGTAGCCTCTCTTCTATCACCCTGCCACCCTATCCATAGAATCCTTACATAGAGCTATTATATGAGTGTATGTTCTTGAATGCATATCACTTCAATTTTCATTTAATAAATTTTCCTAAATCGGAGTAAAAACAATGTGATATTCCAAAGTAGGAGTGTTATGTTTTTCCTCCTCCTCCTCCTCATCACCCCAGTGCCGCAAAGGCCCCCACCTTTGGTGGGGTAAGGGGGGTCAGATGTGCGCATTCTTACCCTGTACTAAAGCACAGAGACTGTTTCCGGATGACCCATAATGAAACTCATGTCGAAAATTGCATGGACTGACTACTGCTTCATAATAAAGAAGCGCAGACAATTTAGTGAGTCATTTTGCTTTATTCCATCATATTCCCAATCCAAAAAACAGTGAGTTTTTGGCTCCATTGCAAATGATGGAAAATGTTTTTTTCTCTTATATAAGAGTAATTACTAGTATGTTTGGAATGTACTGCCAATTATGACATCAATATTGCCATATTAATGTCTGGTAATGCTACAATATGCAGTATTTAGGTGACGGTAACTTACTTCTATTTCAGGGGGAATCGTATTTTTGAATATCACATTGTTTTTACACCTCTTTCGGTCCCTCGACTATAGTGTCAGTAACACTTTTGGTACTCGACTTTAGTTTTTCCCATTTTTAGTCCTCGATTATTATGCTATAGACACTTGTAGTCCTCGACGTCAAAGTTTTTCACATTTGGTCCTCTGAGTATTATCAAATTGACACTTTTAGTCGTTCCACTATGATTTTGACACAATAAGTGGAGGACTAAAAAGTGTCACATTTATGAAAGTCGAAGGACTATATATGGCAATTCTCAAAGACTAGTACCAAAAGTGTCTCTAGTATAGTGGTCGAGGACTAAAAGTGGAAAAAATCAAAGTCGAGTATCAAAAGTGGCAAAAACTCATAGTTGTAACTATTAAAATCACATTTTTGCTGTAATAGGGTTTAGTAAGAGAAGCAATAATGTAAAATGTGAATAAGTTACAAAAGATGTCACTTCTACAGAGGTTAGTGTCAGTAATGCCAGTCTCTTTTACTATGATCAACTTTTCTAAACAGGCAACACTTTCATTTTCCTAACTGTCTCTTCTTCACCTTGTCTTATCATACAATTTAGGTCCCAACTATGTTGGATAAGCAGGGTGTACAGCTCCTAGCAGTTGCCTTGCTTGTGCTGTCTAGAACGTGGATTTCTGACCGCATCGCCTCTTTAAATGGTAACTTACTCTTTTATTTTCCCTTTTTATCTCTCTTTTCTTTTATTGATAACCCCATTCATTTATTTAACTAGGTACAACTGTGAAGTTTGTACTGGAGCAAGATAAGGTAGCATTTATTCGACTAATTGGCATTAGCGTCCTTCAAAGCGCAGCCTCTTCTTTTGTTGCACCATCTTTGAGGTATTTGTTAATTTGGAAGTATTTGAAATTTAGAGTTTTGGACTGATTAAGTACTCATGTTGATAACATGACCTATGAGCCTATGAATGTTGGCTTATAACTTGTTAAAGTGAGGCATTCTAGCCGCAATGCAGATATTTGAATTTAACTATATTGATGGATTCAAGAAACCTGAAACTTCCTCAGCCTTGGATTTTTGTTTTAAAATCACCAAAATTTTCGGCCTACGGAAGTGCAGTGCCACATATTGATGATAGTATTATCTTTTGCAGACACCTTACATCTACGCTGGCTCTTGGATGGAGGATTCGTCTGACCAAACACTTACTGAAGAACTATTTAAGAAATAATGCATATTACAAGGTAAATACTCTGCATATGCGTGCATTATACTATTATATAGTTGTAGTTTATATGTTTGCATGATCTTAAATGTTTGTGTTTTTATATATATGAGCATGATCGTTACAATGAGTAAAGTGATAGTGGAAGTTGAATTTCTGCAAATAGTTCCATTTGGTTAGTCTGTCATACATGTCTCAAGCCCTCTCTCTTTGCACATAGAATTGAAGTTATTACCTTCCAATTAAATACATAGATTAGGTATTTAGGTATGTCATATATTCCGTGTCAGCATGTATCCAAAATAAACATTCAAATGCATATATTAGGTATTTCACATGTCTCGAGTCAACATGGATGCAGATCAGAGATTGACTCAAGATCTTGACAAGCTAACCACTGACTTGTCTAGCCTTGTTACTGGAATGGTTAAGCCAACCGTTGACATCTTATGGTGAGCATATCTGGTGACTAACCTAGTTTTTTGGGGGTACTCATCTTCTAAACCAGCAATGAATGCTGCACAATTTCAGGTTCACATGGAGAATGAAGCTTTTGACTGGCCAGCGAGGAGTTACTATATTATATGCTTATATGTTACTTGGTTTAGGTTTTCTGAGGTGTGTAACTCCAGCATTCGGTGACCTAGCAAGTCGTGAACAGCAGCTAGAGGGAACATTTAGGTGACATTTTTGTACTACGTATTATTTTAATACAACCTCATATGGATAGTTCTGCAATTAATTATGTGAGTGATTATGTGATTGTATCTTCATATATAGGTTTATGCATGAGAGGTTACGTACACACGCTGAATCTGTTGCTTTCTTTGGAGGTGGTGCTCGAGAAAAGGAGGTGACATTACTGGGCTTCACGAGATATTAATCTTTTTAGTTGTGAATTACAATGTTATACTACGTATATGTTTTCTGAAAACTAAATATGGTAGATTGAAGATTGGGCATTCATACACATCTTATTTTGTGCCAATTCCTTAGTCAAGTTGATGATGGATTCTTTCTCTCCCATATATCCCTTTAAAAGAAATTATGAATACATCCTAAATGAATGTTTTTTTGGACAGGTTCTCCATTTCTTTGGAGACACCAAGAAAGATCTATTTCTGTGTCCCTTTTTTCCTTTTTGGAAACCATGTTAAGTAACGACATTTATAACTTATTTCTCAATTTCTTTTTTTCTGCGATTGCCATAGTGGGCTGCGTTCACTAAGCTACCATTGTTAGTGGTTGTGGAAGCCGTATTTTCCAATTGTGGCTGCAGATGCTGGTGGTTATCAGCCGCGGCCACTGTTTCCAGCAGATCAACAATAACTGGCATGAGATGCCTCTTTGCTTTGCAAAACATTAAGTGTTTTAGTAAATTTGGAAGATAGATACAGTTATAGAACATTTTTCTATATTTGGAAAGTGAACAACAAAAATGTTTATTTTTCTACATTTTCTAGTATCAGAGGTCTCTAGAAAAATTGATTTTTTCCCCATCATTAGACGTTCCCTGGTTGCAATCTTATAAATTATTTAATTTATTAAAGATTTAGAGAACTGGTACTTCCCTAAGCTGCTGTTTATTATTATACCATTATATTTCCTCCTGTCCTATTTAAAGGGTACAATTCTAAAACCTCGGGTTGCATTCTAAAAGGTCCATTCTATATAGTAGTTTATTAGTTCATATTGTAGAGGTGTGGGAAACACGTCAACACACAATATTGTGACCTTAAATCTTAGGGTGTGCTTTGTTGGAGGGTTTGGGAGTAGAGGAAGTTAATGAAAGGTGAAAAGTGATATTATTCCTCAGTTTTGGGGAATTCACCCACCCCCAAAAGGTTGAGAATCAAATTATTTCCATTCTCAATTCCCTGCACCATTAAACTCATTCTCATACTCTTCAATTTATCAAGCACTCTAAGTTATTTTCATACTTTCATGGTATAAATGCATATCGAATTTGTTTTACATTTAAGGCATTTGCCCCTATTAAATGAAGTCTTATTAAGGAGTCTCATACGTTAATGAGGTTAATGCAGAAATGAGGCACTGTTGAATAATTTCATAGTCGGAAAATTAAGATTATTTTGAATGATGTTAATTGTTTCCTTGGTTTGTGTAAAAGCCAAAATCATGCCCTATAGATAGGACTGGAGTACCATTAAAGTGAAATACAATCTGATAGCAAACCACATGATGAATTCTGGAGTTGTACAGTGGGAATATTTTTCTATTCTTTTGTGAGTACAGTGCATATCTAGTGATGATCACACTTCAGTGCATTTTATAGGGTGTGTAGGATATTGTTGGGCTTTTCTGCTTCCTTTTGTGAAATTTATAATATTACGTACATCAACATGTGTAATTTGCAGATGGTTGATTCAAGGTTTGAGGAACTTCTTAATCATTCTGCATTGCTTCTAAAGAAGAAATGGCTTTTCGGCATAATAGATGAGTTTATCACAAAGCAACTACCTCACAATGTTACATGGGGTTTGAGTCTCTTGTATGCTGTCGAGCACAAGGGTGATCGTGCTTTGACTTCAACTCAAGGTGAAAACTTGCACTGACTGTGTTACATTCTTCAAACTTTATCTAACTAATTCTTCCCTCATTCACCTATATTTTCTCCGGTAGGTTTTCAACGGAAATTAGAGTATAGTTGTAAGGGTAGAGAATAGTGTAAAAGAAGGAAACAGAAGATGAGAAAGCAAGGGTGCTCATGTCTTTTGCAAGGATACTACAACAAGAACAACATCCAAGCCTTAGTCCCAAAAGAGTTTGGGTCGGCTAAAATGGATCGCCACATGAAATCAGAGCTAAAAGGATAAGAAAGATAAAAAGATAAGATAAGATAAAAAAGATAAAAAAAAGGTAAGATAAATATAAGATAAAGATTAAAAAGAATAAAAATATAAGATAAAAAGAATAAAAATATAAGGTAAAAAGGATAAATAACATACTAAAGATAAAGAAGATAAAAAGGTCATCATCATTACCTCAGTGCCGCAAAGGCTCCCACCTATAGTGGGGTAAGGGGGGTCAGATGAAAAAGGATAAAAAAGATGAAAGAGATCAATCGTCCACACAAATATTCTCCCTCCACTTTGCTCTCTCCAAAGTCATACTCTCATCCAAACCAAGAAGAAGCATATCACTCATGACTCCTATAATCCACGTCTATTTGAATTTTCCATTCCCTCTTCTCCCCGCCTTTTCGCCCCGGCTTTCAACTCGTCCAGCAGTTGGCTTTTGATATGATAGTATTAATTACCAAAAAAGGAAATTGGATCAAGTAATAGTAAACAACTAAAAGTGAATGGTGGTAGCATTATTGATTTTAGTTAGTAATCTCTCGTATAATGTTCTGTCAGGTGAGTTGGCTCATGCACTACGGTTCTTAGCTTCTGTCGTGTCTCAAAGCTTTTTAGCTTTTGGTGACATTCTTGAGCTGCATAGAAAATTTGTTGAACTTTCCGGTGGTATCAACAGAACCTTTGAGTTGGAAGAGCTTCTAGATGCTGCTAAAAATGGTATGACTATTTGCATTGTTTTATCATTCGAATTCCATCTAACTGCCATTAGCTTCATCTTAAAGGTCCATGGATTACATAGCTTTCAGAATCTTTACCTCAAGTGTTTTTATTTACTACCTTCATCCCATTAACATTGGGGCATGGGGAGGAAGTGTGGTTCTTAAGACAAGTGAGTTTATGTGATTGATATTGAAGTGATAAAGTAGGAATAGAGTAAGAATGATTGAGAACCACACACAAATTTTACCAAATTTGGTAAGAGATAATCTTAGTGGGACGGACCGAAAAGGAAAGATGGGACAATCTTAGCAGGATGGAGGGAGTTAAGTTTATTGCTTTTATGGTGAATGGTGGCTTTTCTCATGCTTCATTGTGTAGAATTATGCGAACTGATATGTTTGAGGGATGGAATGACTTGTGTAACATGATAATAGAAAGTTATTATTGATAGTATTGGAAATGATATACCAATGTGAAGAACTTGATGTAACCTTATTTTCGGCTACTTCATATTATTCTACAAATGTTTGAATCTTAGTCCTCACCACCAGTACGCTTCACTGAGTGTTGTTTCGGAAGTCATGGCTACTCTGTGAGTTGTTCCATAGTGGTTTACCCAAGTTTTGAACGCATTACTCGACCTTATTAATTTTCAGCCCTACTGCCTACACATGTTTTTTTCTCAGAATTCTTGAACCGTTTCACTAAAGTTACATACTAATTGAAGAGTTACTTCTCATACCCCATACTACTTCAAGTTCAGCCCCAAAAATGCCCCAAAATAACTAGTTTAACTGGATTTAGGAATTCACTGTTTTTTACTGATCTTTCAAACTTGTCCACATTAGCTCTTCCTACTCTAAATGGTTTTCTACCTCTAAAATAAAAACATTTAATGTGCATTAAGTATATGGGCTTTTCTAAAATGTCAATTATTTGGCGTTCGCTTAACTATTGTGTGGTTGATGGTATCATTATAAGCCTATTATCCAACTATTGATTCCAAATGCCTTGACATTTTGCTGGACTTGTAAATGCTTTTTATATGTTTGGTTGCTTGTAAAGGCTTTATATATGTTTGGTTGCTATTTTGATAACCATAAAATTGTCCGGTAGTGATATGGATATAAATTCTCATGCAGATCAAGCGTCCGAGATTCCTCTGTCATCCTTCTCGGAAAATATTATTTCTTTCTCCGGAATGGATATCATTACACCATCACAAAAACTCTTGGCAAGGAAATTAGTATGTGATATTATGCCGGGAAGGAGCCTTCTCGTCACTGGTCAGTGGTTAATGCAATTTGTTTATCATTTTGTATTTTTCTTTTCATCTCTGTACCTCATAAGATTTTCATTGTGATAACAAAAGGCCCTAATGGGAGTGGAAAGAGTTCAATCTTCAGAGTCCTTCGTGGTTTATGGCCGGTGGTCAGTGGAACCCTCGTTAGACCAGGTCAACAGCATAAGTCTGGATTTGGTTGTGGTGTATTTTATGTCCCTCAGAGACCATACACGTGCTTAGGAACCCTGAGGGATCAAATTATATATCCTCTGTCACTCGAAGAAGCAAAGAGAAGAGCATTGTCCTTGCTGATGACAGAAGGTATGTATCCTGACTGTGGAATTCTCCCCTTACTCGTTGAGTCAGTCTCAATCTGTACATCTAATAAATAGTTAAAACGATACCGAAGAATCAATCACATTTTTTCTATTATTCTGTTAGAAGATAAATAAATTAATTAATGAGACATTGAGGCATGTTGAACATTATGTAATATCTAGTATAATTGTAATTCTTCCCCTTTTTATATGATTTTTTTCTTCCAATAAAAATAAAAATTTGATTGGGAGGATATGCTCGATCAAGGGAGAGTTTAGGTTGTGAGGACACTGGAATGTTTTAGATGAAAACTTCAGGTGCCGCTATTTTAACACCCCAAATCTAGCTTATAAAGAAGATGTACAATTGTACATTACGAGCATCCTTTATTTATTTATTTATTTATTTATTTATTTATTTATTTATTTATTTATTTATTTATTTATTCGTTCGTTCGTTCGTTCGTTCGTTCGCTCGCTCGCTCGCTCGCTCGCTCGCCGCCTACCTACCTATGTTAATAGTTTATTTGCTTTCAATGAACTTGTATAGTTGTATGACCTGTTTCCTCAATTTCAGATCAAAAGTCAATCACTGGATCCCATGACATTCTTGATTTTCATTTAAAGACTATCCTAGAGAGTGTTAAACTAATCTATCTTTTGGAAAGAGAAGGGGGCTGGGATACAAGCCAAAATTGGGAGGACATTTTATCCCTTGGAGAACAACAAAGATTGGGAATGGTGAGCCTTAAAAGTTGTTTGTCAACGCGTACAAATATAAAAATAATTTTTTATTATGTTTGTGTGCTAATCATCAGCTGATAAGTTCTTGTTTATTCTTTAAGGCACGTTTATTCTTTCATAAGCCGCAATTTGGAATACTCGATGAATGCACCAAGTAAGCAAAACAACAAGCATTTATCTTATTCATTTCTAGTGAAATAGGGGCGGCTGCCCTAAGAGAGGGACTAAAAGTGATATTGTATCTCACTTATAGTAATTGTCTAATTGAGATGCTAAGTTCACAAAAACTGTTAAACAAGTCCGTCGTATTACATAGTGTAACACAATTGAGGGACTAAATGTGCATTTCTCCTTTCCTTGTCTCAAATGGGATAGTGCCACGAGCGTGGATGTCGAGGAGCACCTTTATAGACTTGCCAAGGACAGTGGCATCACAGTTGTTACATCTTCACAGGTACAAAATAACTATGTAACAGTAAATTATTTCTCATAAAAAGGCCCGCATTGCCTTTTATTATTATTTGTCATTGCAGCATAAAATTTATTACTCCCTCCGTATCATTTTAACCGTCTCGTATCCCTGTCCGGGATGCATCAAATTAATAGTGACTCCTTTTTGGGAAAGAAATTTATCCTAAAAGCAGCTACAGTACACTGATAAAGTATCAAGATCCTCTTACTTTTTGTAGTGTACAATAAACCTATAACATTATTTTATACTACTTGAAAAGCCTGTTGTGAGACTTAAAATGATATGAAAGGAGTATCATTTTCCTTTTCGTAAATATTACTATGCCTAGCTGAGATGCAATCTCTTTCCCATTTCTCAGCGGCCTGCTTTGATACCCTTCCATTCATTGGAGTTGCGATTGATTGATGGAGAGGGCAAGTGGGAACTCCGTTCGATCCATCCATAAATGGTTATCTATGCTTTCAGTAAAAACAAGAACACGTATGCAGTTTCGGATGGATCCATCTCAACGAAGAGTACCTCTTACATATATCTTGGTGAATAGGTGTCAACTTTCTAAAATAATAAGCCAAGGCAATAAGATTTGTTTTACTCAAAGATAGACAGTGGGTGGGGCGGTGAAGCATAGATCATTTTATTTATTGTAACATAGCAAAGTCGTGTATAGTTGCAGTATTTAATCATGGCCTACAAGTTTTACGCCATCCTTTTTGATGTAAAGGGATTATTGTATTTGCTGTCAGCCTTGAACAGTATAATTGTTACAGAAATTAGCAGCAGCTGAATCAAACTCAGTTTGATAAGCCGATTGTCTATAATGTTCTGTTAATATATGACAATTAGCTATGGGCATGTTTGGTGCATAAGGATGTAATAATGTGTCAAGTATTTTCTGGTTTAAAAACATTACTGTGACACTTCAAAGTGTGAAATAATGAAAGATATTACTTGACAGGTATATTTACAAAAGAAGAAGAGTTGTCAAAGTATAAAATATTCCTAAATAGATATTAGACATATTATTACACTTCCTCAGATTGTGCGGGAGTTACAATGTGCAGGTTGTGGATCAGCAAAGTCAGAAAAATAAAAGATTGGGCTCTAGAAAAACAACAAAGCAAGTGGTGGAACGAGAAGTATTTGGACAGACATTCCACATGAATTGAGATACTAAGTGCACGACACGAGTAATATAAGGTCTTGTCAAAGTTAAATACAGTAATGCATCTATCATACTACGATGCACAGTGGCATCCACAAGAAGCTCATCATCAGTGATGGAAAGAGTAGTACGAGATGCAAGAGGGGGTGTAAACAGATTTAAGTGTATGCAAATGAAACGTACCTTTATTATTATGGAGAGCCTGAATGCCTAGAAAATAATGAAGATCACCTAAGCCTTTCATTGCAAAGTGATGAACCATGAACCACAAGGTGAATAAATGTAGTGACAACAGAAGAAGAGTTACCATTCATAATAATGTCATCCGCATATAATAACAAATAAATAACAGAAATAAAGCCTCCCCACGGGTAGGCCTGGACTCGGGCCGGGTCGGGCCCGGGCCGGGCCTTGGAACCTTGGGAGCAGGCCCGATCCCGGCCCGTGGTGAGGCCAGTGCCGGTTCGGGCCGAGTCACCCGCCCGGGCCCTGGACCGGGCCACCTGCTGGGTCGGGTCGGGCCTATATATATATAGAAAAGATCAGGTCCATCCGGAGGGACGGGAGGCTCCGTCCGAACTTTACTGTTTGGGGCGGTTCCCGGTGGAAGTTTTTGATGAAATTTTTTGAGCATGTTCCTCCTCAAGTCTAGTTTATCCATACCAAATTTCAGCTCAAAATTCGATAGAGAAGGCATTCAAAAAAATTCTTGAAACATACTGCACATTATATGTGCGCAGAATGTGCAGTATTTTTCAAGAATTTATTTGAATGCCTTCCCGATTGAATTTTGAGCTGAAATTTGGTATGGATAAACTAGACTTGATGAGGAACATGCTCAAAAAATTTCATCAAAAAATTCCACCGGGAACCACCATAAACAGTAAAGTTCGGACGGCACCTCCCGTCCCTCCGGATGGACCTGAGCATTCCTCTCTCTCTCTCTCTCTCTCTCTCTCTATATATATATATATATATATATATATATATATATATATATATATATATATATATATATATATATATATATATATGGGAAGGTTCAGGTGAGAATAGTGCTCCAGGAGAGGAAAAAAGAATGAAATCTAACCTTTAATTGTTCTAATCCGATGGCCAAGATTTTTTTGAAACAAAGCTATCGGTCCATGATTTTCGTAGGGGGTTGGTTTATTAAAAAGGCAACATGCTACTAAATATTAATTGAGGGACACAATGGTAAATCTCACTTTAGAGTGGTTGACACGCACTAAGCATCAAAATAGGAAGTAATTCTAACAAATAGGATAGTAATTAATGCGGAGCACTCTCTTTCATAATTAGAATAATTTATTTTATTAATTTATTTTAATACGTAGTAGCTTTTTCTCTTGTCATTTAAATTTCTTTCCCAATTTAAGGCTCTCTCGTGTTTGGTCTTTAACTTTTTAAATGCAAGGTTTGTCCATTTGCACTCCAATACTAAATTCTTGCACTCTTATTCAAAGTTATATGCAAATATTTATTTAAATATTCACATATGTTTGATTTGAAGGTAGATTTATTATAATCAAAATGTACATTTTATTAAAAGCATAAACATTTATATATGCAATAATTGTAATTTAAAAGTGCATATTGTTATAATAGAAAAAAATATGATGTTGAGCTGTCATAAGTATATATATTTATACGTTTATTGTGCACTAAAATGATTTCGAAATGCGCTTTATAGAGCTATTTAAGTATGTGGTGTTCTCACTACATCAAACTTCTTTTTTGAATTCAACACTTTTTTGTTAAAATGCATACTTCCAATATAGAAACTTGCACATTTGATCTATTTGAAGTTCATGATCTATAGTAATTAATAAAAGATTCAAAGTATAAGAACTTTATATACATTTGATCTATACTAAAAATGCACTTTAACATTGAAGAGCTACACTTTGATTCAAAATTTTATGCAATATAAATGTTATTATATATTTGTTTTCGCAATTTAACTAATCAATAGCATTCGTCAATAAAACAATTCTAAAGACAAATAGAATTTTGAACCGTTAAGATATTCTTACAATTATTTTGAACAATTCTAAAGACAAATAGAATTTTGAACCGTTAAAATCATAGAATTAGGATATTCTAGCATATAATTAAGATAATTATTTTGAACAAAGCTTTCTTTTGTAATTCGTGCATTAATTTTCTTATTAATCATTTTTTTCTTTTCAAATGTAATATTCATCAATGAGTCAAAATGATTTATTTAATGCATTCCAACATTGAAAGGATGCACTTTTATTCGAACCTTTATTTAACATCAATTCATTTAAATGTTTACACATATTAGGTGTAGAAGTGCACTTATTGTAATCTAAATGTGCATTTTTTTTAGCCTTCTCAGATACAATACTTCATCCACCTAATTTTGTATATTTACACTTCAACGTTGAATAAATGCATTTTGGTCGAAATATAATGCAACATTAATTAAATTAAATATTTGGATATTTTTTCTATCTCAAGAGAATTGAGATGTTTATTGACTTATAAATTGTACTTTTATGTTTTTGGTTTTGACTTTTTATAACATTAATCTACATTTTACAAGTTGTGCACATCTGTACATATCTTTAAAAAATTCAATTTATAAATACTTCTGGAGTGTAGGATATAACTATCACGTGTATATTAGAGTATACGAAAGTGCACTATTATATTACTCCCTCTGTCCCTAAATTTACTTCCATTTTGCTTTTCGAGAGTCAACTTAAATCACTCTTAAACTCTTACTTTTTGTATCAAAACTTTATGAAAATTGATTTTTTTTTGTGCAGGCTTTGTAGCGGGTTTAATGTAGTTTCTGAATATGTAAATTTTATTTACTAAAAATAATCCGAGTTTTCACAGGGATCATTTAACTTTATCGTCGGTCAACCTTCGTAATCCGCAATCGGAAGAACATTCAGGGACGGAGGGAGTAGATTTTATGAAGTTCTATATCGACACACTTCTACAAAATAAAATGCACTTTTATCATATATCGTGTGCATTTCAAATATATATAAAAGTGAACTATTATATATTACACTTTCTAAAACTCCACATTGGTACTTTTACACAATGAATGCACTTTTCTTCCAAAAGCATCATACTTGTTCCTGTATGATGGTGTCTTCCAATGTCTCTAGTCTGTATTTGCAAAAAAAAATGAAATTAAAAACTAATGAAATGTGCATGAACAAAGCACGGTAAATGCATCAGAAGTTTATTAAGAAAATTTTCTAGTACGGAGCATTGTATAAAAACTCAAAGCTGTCATGTAAGTTATCCATAATAAACACATAAAGTGCATCAGAAGGCAATGTACGTGCACTAATAAATGCTTATAAGTGCAAGTCCACAAATCACAAAATTATAGTAGTGCAAATCTACACACCTAAAATTGTGCAATAACAATATGTAAAAGTGAAAGAATAAACATTTATTACTGATCCAATTCAATAGCTAGCATTTAAATAACTCTGAAATTATAAAATACAGAACCAAATAAACATAAAATTAGAACACTCGTAAGGGCACTGTTATCAATCACTAAAATTTGATGAAAACAAATAAACCATCAATGAATAAGAACGAACAATAAACAAAGTGGATTAAACAAGCACTTGATTCCTAGGGAGAAAAATTTATGTTTTAAAAGCAAAATGACAAACTAAATTAACAAATATCAGCAACTAAATTATCTTACTAAGATCTGTGTGGAGGAGATGATATTGTTTGGAGAAGGCCAAATAAAAAATAAAAGTAATTGCTCTCAATTTTAATCTTCAAATTACCCAGTTTCTTTTCTCTTCTGTTGCACCCCTTCGATTTAATTTTTGAATTGCAACCATCATACATAGATAAGGGCAACGATTAAATAAAACTACAAGCCCAGACTCATAAGTTTAAGAAGCTATACTCCGATTTAATCTGCGGCCAGAATTTTCAATCGCAGTTGCTCCAACTGCCGCGCTCGCATAATAAAGATCTCCATCCATGGCAAGATTTTTCGAATCTGGAATATGAAACCCCCTATTAGAAAATGATCGATACAGTGAATAATGAGCCTAAAGATTAGGAACGTGAATGGAAAGATGAGAAAATGACTATTAAAGCCCTACTCGGAAATAATGAATAAGTAAATAAAAAATCAGATCTAAGGGTTCCTATTGATTCTTTTTTACTCTCCTAAGATTAAGTTCTCACATGAACCTAAATCTATATATATATATATATATATATATATATATATATATATATATATATATATATAGAGTCCCGTTCCTATCAGGAGCTCCTGAAGAGAAGCTCCGTGCGGACAAGACCATCAGAGGGTCTTCTCGGTGGAATTTTTTGATGAAATTTTTTGAGCATGTTCCTCATCAAGTCTAGTTTGTCTATACCAAATTTCAGCTCAAAATTCGATCAGGAAGGCACTCAAATAAATCCTGGAAACATACTGCACATTATATGTGCGCAGAATGCGCCATATTTTTCCAGGATTTTTTTGACTACTTTCCCGATCGAATTCTGAGCTGAAATTTGGTATGGACAAACTAGACTTGACGAGGAACATGCTCAAAATATTTCATCAAACAATTCCACCGGGAAGACCCTCTGATGGGCTTGTCCGCACGGGCCTGCTCTTCAGGAACTATGTATATGAACTGCCCCCCCTCTCTCTCTCTCTCTATATATATATATATATATATATATATATATATATATATATATCACAAATGTTCAGGTCAGGAGTTCCTGACCGGAA